AGCTGGACTGCGAACCACAAGATAAGCCGCTTTTCAGAAACTCTACACAGGATGGCTATGAGTTGGACCAGACTCAAAAGCACCAAATAACAATAACAACAATATTACTTGATGTTCAAAGATAAGTAAAAATGCATTGCTCTTAGGATTTCGGGGAGCACGGTGGCTCCATGCAATAGGCACTGGACTGTAAACCATAAGGTCAGCAGTTCGAGCCCACTAGCCCATTCTCTGGAGAAAGATGAAGCTTTCTATTCCCTCAATAGAATTAAAAGCCTTGGAAACCCTACACAGGGTCTCTATGAGTCGAAACTGACTCCATGGCATTTAACAACAATGACAACAAATTAGGGTTTCAGTTCATACCGGAAAGGGTTTACTCCAAATGAAAAGTGTTTAAACATGCCTCTGTAGTCAAAGAATAACTGAAGACAAGTTCTCTTAGTCCTATTATTGTTGTTATGTGCCATAGAGCCAGTTCCGACTCGTAGCGACCCTGTACCGTGTTTCCAAGGCTGTAAATCTTTACAGGAGCAGAAAGCCTCATCTTTCTCCTGCGGAATAGCTGGTAATTTCGAACTGCTGACCGTGAGATTAGCAGCCCGATTCGTAACCACCATGCTACGAGAGCTCCTTCTTAGTCCTATTGTTGTTGTTGTGTGCTGTCGAGTCGGATCCGACCCATAGCGACCCTATACAGGGTTTCCGAGGAGCGACTGGTGAGCTTGAACCGCCGACCTACACAATGAAATGTGTAAAGGCCCGAAGTTATAAAACCAAAACAGAAGAACACACTCGACATTTCTTGAGCTGAAAGAACTGAAGCAAAAAACGTCAAGTCTCAACTTGAAATACTGAAGGATTCTATGGGGAAAATAATGATGCAGAAAACAGCAAAGAAGATAGAAGGAATACACAGAATCATTGAACCAGAAAAAAAACAAAAAACAAAAACTGGTCTATGTTCAACCATTTCAGAAGGTAGCATATGATCAATAAACAATGGTACTAAAGGAAGAAGTCCAACCTGCACTGAAGGTATGAACAAAGAACAAGGCTCCAGGAATTGATGGAAAACAAACTGAAATCTTTCCAAAAAATGCTGTAGCATTGAAGGCACTCACTCATCTATGCCAAGAAATTTGGAAGACAGCTACTTAGCGAACTGATTAGAATAGATCCATGCTTGTGCCCAATTCAAAAGACAGGCAACCCAACAGAATGGGGAAGTCATCAGACAATATCATTAATATCACGTACAAGTAATAGTACATTGATAAAGGAACTGCTGGAGGTTCAAGCAAGATTCAGACAAGGACATGGAACAAGGGATATCATTGCTGATGTCCGATGGATCTTGGCTGAAAGCAGAGAATATCAGGAAGATGTTTACCTGTGCTTTGTTGACTATGCAAAGGCTTTCCATTGTGTGGATCATGACAAAATATGGACAACATTGTAGAGTGAGTATCTTGGAACACTTAATTGTGCTTATGAGGAACTTGTACATAAACCAAGAGGCAGTTGTTTGAACAGAACAAGAGGAGACTGAATGGTTTAAAATCAGGAAAGGTGTATGTCAGGATTGTATTCTTTTACCATGCTTATTCAGTCTGTATGCTGAGCAAATAATCCAAGAAGCTGGATTATATGAAGTAGAACATGACATCAGGATTGGAGGAATACTCATTAACAGAGGAGAATTTTGAAAGTGCTATGGGCTGCCAAAAGAACCAACAGATACATGTTGGAAGAAGTGCAGCCAGAGGGCTTCTTGGAGGCCACAATACCCAAACTTTGTCTCTCATACTTCGGACATATTGTCAGGAGAGAGCAGTCACTGGAAAAGGATATCATGTTTGGTAAGGTGGAGGGTCAGATAAAAGGAGGAAGACCCCCATAGAGATGGATTGGAAAAGTGGCATCAACAATGGGCTTAAGTGTGACAACAAATGTGAGGTTGGCCCAGGACCGGGCAGTGTTTCATTCTGTTGTACATAGGGTTGCCATGAGTCGGTACTGTCTCGATGGTACCTAACAACAACAACAACAACATATACAGATAATACAACCTTGCAGAAAGCACTTCAAATACTTATTTTTGAAGATCAAAACCAGTCTTCAGGATAGGTTTCACCTCAATATAAAAAACAACTAAAGTCCTCACCAGTGGACCAGTGAACAGTATCATGATACAAGGAAAAAAAGACTGATGTAAAAAACTCCATTTTGCTTGGATCCACACTCAACACTCATGGAAGCAGCAGTCAAGAAATCAAGCAACATCAAACAACGTATTGTATTAGGCAAATTTGCTTCACAAGACCTTTTTAAAGTGTTCAAGAGCAAATATATCAGTTTAAGGACTAAGGTACATCTGACCCAAGCCATGGTATTTTCAATAAACTTAAGTGCATGTGAAATGGTCAGTGATTAGGGAAGTCTAATGAAGAATTAATTGATGCATTTGAGTTATGGTGTTGGAGAAGAATATTAAAAGTACCATGGACTGTCAGAAAGCAAAAAAAAAAACAAAAAAAAACAAATCTGTGTTGGAAGAAAAACAGGCAGAATACTCCTTAGAAGCCAGGATGGCGAGATTTCATTTCTCATACTTTGGATATATTATCAGGGGGACCATTCCCTGGAGAAGGACATCATACTCTATAACATGGAGGATCAGCTAACAAGAGGAAAACCTCCAACTATGTGGATTGGTACAGCAGTGGTAGCAGCAATGGACTCAAGCATAACACTGACTGTGGGGATGGGGCCAGATGCAGCAGTGTTTCATTCTGTTGTGTATAGGGTCACTGTGAGTTGGAATGGACTGGACAACACCTAAAACTAACACACTGACAGCATTGAATGTTGGTGAAGATTTGGACCAACTGGAGCTTTCATACTCTGGTGTTGGAAATGTAAATTGATACATCACTTTGGATAATCATTTGGCAATATTTACCAGGTGCCATTGAATTCATTCCAAATTATGATGAACTAATTTGTGTCAGAATAAAACTATGTTCCTTTGGGTTTTCAATGGCTATTTTTCTTGGAAGTAGATTGCTAGCCCTTTCTTTTTGAGGCATCTTTTAATGGATTTGAATCTCCACCATTTCATTTCACAGATGAACTTGCTGTTTGCATCACTCAGGGACCCCTTTAAAACAGCAATTTCTTTCTTAAGTATATTCCTCAGAGATATGAAATATGCATACACACAGACACACAAAAAAAAACTTTTATAAGAGTATTCATTAAAGTTTTAGTCAAAATAGCCCCAAACTAAAAACAATGCAAGTATTCAGCAAGAGTGGAACAGATAACTGTAATTTAATCCTACCATGAAATATTATTAAAAGAATAAATTACTGGCATATATACTAATGGAGAGTGTAGGATAATCACAATTGGTGAACCACAGGGTCGGCAGTTGGAGCCTACCAGTTGCTCCATGGGTGACAATGAACTTTCTGCTCCCACAAAGATTTACAACCTCGAAAACCCTGTACAGGGTCATTATGCATCAGAACCTACTCAACAATACTTAACCACAAAAACATGTAATAATATGAATTAATTTCACAGATACAGATGGAATAAAATGAGTAAGATACTAAAAGTATATGATTTATTATTCCATTTATATTGAGTTAGAAAACAAAATTGATTTACAGTGAGAAAGGTCAGTGACTCTCTTGGAGGTCTAATGATAACTGTGTGAGGGCATTTGTGAGTTTTCTGGAATGCTGGTAATATTTGATAGCATGATTTGGATAATGAGTACATAGGCATATGTATTAATCTGTATGTAAATTTAATATTTATATGCTTTATACATGTGTTATTTCAATAAAATATTTATCTGAAGAAGAAGAGTGTCAAAAAGCATAGATAGATCATTTAAAATGAAGGCTAGATGTAGTAACATGGATTTCATTGGTTCCTTAACACTTTTGAGCAGTTTCAATGGAGTGAGCAGGATAAGCACCTACATAAATGTATTCTGGAGAGAACGGGAGGAGTGTTGGTTGAGGCAGAAAGTAATGCCTAGGTCCCAACTCTTCAGGTTAAATTCTAAGGCCCTTCATGATTTTGCCCTGCCCAATCTAAAATCTTTCTCCATGATTTCAAAATATCTACCATTTAATTCTCCATAACTTGAAGGCAGCTCTTGGCTTTATTCTATACTGGTATTTAGGATTGATTAGCTGCTATCAAACTGAGAACAGCCATTAATAGAACACAGAGTAATCAGAGAAATTAATCTAGGTAAGTGCTCCCAGGATACCCCTCAAAGAGCTAGGATTAGACTGGCAGAGAGTAGTGGTTCTCAAATGTTGATGAAGTTTAGAAATTTTTTTTTTAAACTAAAAGTTCATTAAAAATTAAGATATCTGAGGATCAACTTCCAGAAACTTAGGTCTTATATTTCTCTGAGGGGAGGGAGGAGTGCAGGAATCCGTACATGTTATAAGTACCCCAGGCACTTCTTATGTTCCTGGTCTATAGACATCCTGTTATGACACAATCATATATTAAATACTAGCAGACAGGAAAGGGAAAAGAAAGACAAACTTCTACTACTGGTAGAATGAGGGATGATCTGATTGGGTAGGTAGAATGAGGAATGATTTTGTCCTCATCTTACATTTGCTCTTTCTGGAACATTTGTCCCACTTTTATAAACAAAGGTTTTTAACCCTGAAATATCATATCAGGTTTTCTTTCTACCATCAACGTTCTATATGTTGTAGGCTTGTAAGACTCAAAGTTGTGATGATAAACTTTCTTCTTTCTTTTCTTTTCCTTTGCTCTTTTTTATTTTACTTTTCCTTTCCATTTCTGTTCACTCCCCTTTCTTCTTCTCTCCTAACCCTCCCTTTCCTCCTCTGATTTTTCATCCTTTGTTTCTTAACTCATTCTCCATCTGTTTCCTCCTCTTCACTTTCTCTTTCCTTCCCTTCCTCCTTTTTTTCTCTCCCTCTAATTTTCAGATAGAGAAAAGGAAGTTCAACCAGAACTCTAACTCTACGTACTGTATCTTCATGGTCAACAAGCCGTACGCCATCACCTGCTCTGTGGTGGCCTTCTACATCCCGTTCCTCCTCATGGTGCTGGCCTATTATCGAATCTATATCACAGCTAAGGAGCATGCCCATCAGATCCAGATGTTGCAACGGGCAGGAGCCCCCTCAGAGAGCAGACCACAGCAGGCAGACCAGCATAGCACACATCGCATGAGGACAGAGACCAAAGCAGCCAAGACCTTGTGCATCATCATGGGTTGTTTTTGCCTTTGCTGGGCTCCATTCTTTGTCACCAATATTGTGGATCCTTTCATAGACTACACAGTTCCTGGGCAGGTGTGGACCGCATTCCTTTGGCTTGGCTATATCAATTCTGGGTTGAACCCCTTTCTCTACGCCTTCTTGAATAAGTCTTTTAGACGTGCCTTCCTCATCATCCTCTGCTGTGATGATGAACGCTACCGAAGACCTTCCATTCTGGGCCAGACTGTCCCCTGTTCAACCACAACCATTAATGGATCCACACATGTGCTAAGGTAAGTGTTTAGGGGGTTGGTAGTGTTTCTCAATGAGCATTGGATAACTCTCCAGTTTTCTTTTACCAGAGGGAACATTACTGTGGTGTTTGCAAAGATGAAAGGACATTTTATTATCTGGTCATAGTACTAATCTAGTGAGGAAGGGCACATACTCTGGAGGGAGACAGTCCTACATTCAAACTCAGTCTCCATAGTTCCATGACTATGGCAGGTCACTTAACCATTTGGAATCTTCATTTTATTTTTCTAATTGAAATCATAACCATTACATCTATACAACAGAGCTTTTTTACAAGCATCAAATTAACTAATATATTTATTGTCTTGCTTTTGTTGCTATGTGCTGTTGAGTCCGTTTCTACTCATTGTGACCCTGTATAGGTGTCCAAGGAGCAACTGGTTAGTTTGAGCCACCGACCTTGTGATTCAAATAGACGTTTCGGTCAAGTGTGTATCCTACAGTGCCGTACCGGGGCTCCAACTAGTGTATAAAGAGCACATCATACAGAACCTGGCACCTAGTAAGCACTTAGTAAATGGCATCTGTGATTGTGGTACCTTGGTATCTGTGATTGGGGAACTGTAGGATAAGCACTGGACTGCTAACCATAAGGTCGGTGGTTCAAATCCTATAGAAGATCATTATGAGTCGGAACTGACTTAATGCATTTAACAACAACATTATTGAAAAGCCATATTGCAGTGTAGTGATTGAAATCATGAGCTTTAAAGTAAAACAGATTTTATTTTGACTCTCATTGCCCCTGTTAACCATCCATAGAATCTCTATTGGTTTCACTTTCCTCAATGGTAAAAAAACTGGTGATAAGAATAATACCCCTCAGGAGTTTTGAGACAGTTAAAGGTAATGCATTCATATTATGGCCTGGCATGTATTAAGCACTCATAATACTACTAACGAGTCCTACCTGGTGTGGTGCTATAGGATAGGCACTGGACTGCTAACTGCAAGGTTGGTGGTTCAAACCCACCATCCACTTCTTGGAAATCCATGAGTCAAAATTAATTCAATGGCACTTCAACAACAACAACAAAAATACTAATAACAAAATTGTAAGTATTAGGAGTCGTAGTAATAGCATAAGAACTAATGTCCTAAAATGGTCATGAAACATCATGATAAACTAATGAAAAATAGAACAACAAATACTTAACAGTAATGCTGTATAACAAATGATCTAATGGTGGTAGCATGGGATTAAGAGTAGGAAACAAGCTGATTTGGTTTAGGAGAATCCTAGAAAGCTTTGCAAAAGAGCATTTGGCAAGAATTGGAGACATGGAGGGGATATCAGGAAGGCCAGTCTAGGAAGGGAGAACAGTATGAAGGAAAGAAATGGGAATAAGAAAGCGCATAGGAAGGTCACGTGACTTACCTATTGTCTCATAGGCTAGATGGAAGCAAGAGTGACTTTAGAATTGAATATTCAGTGACTAATCATAATGCTTCTTTCCAAACCCTGAGAAGCTTCTGGCCACCCTGGGCTAGAATTGTCCTCAGCTACAAAGAGCCATGTGCAATAAGTATATTCAGCTATAGCAAAGATGGATTTTTAATGACATTTTTTTCCACTGCCCTGGGATGCATGGGGATTTCTAAAGAGCAGTTCCCTCTTTGAGACAAGCCTTTAATTTTTCTAATGATGACAGTATTCAGCTGTTCTCACAGCTGAAAATTGGGAGATTTTCATTTGCATGTATAAGAAAAGCAGAGAAAACAGGAATTACTATGAAAGCCAAATGCTGTGGCTCAGAGACTGCGCAGATGCATGAATTCAATGTTCTGCTACCAGTGTGGGCAGACTTGCAGCTAAAGTCTAGTATGCTGTTGAGATTTCTGCTATTGGAGGGACCTCAGAGGATACTTCTATAGGCTGGCATTCTCTCTTAATTATTATGCCTTAGCAAGTGTCATAGAAGGAACCCAACCATAAAGTGTGTGTACAGGAACTTCTGTGTGGGTGCCAGATAGTTTTTCTCTATTTAAGCTAGCAGTTGCCTAAGTACAGGCTGTCGACAACTTATAAACAGCGTATGTTCCAGCAGTGCTTTTAAGTAAATCGGTTAGACTTGGTGGCCTTTTCCCATAGAAAGAGTCACAGGAAGAGTTTGGGGGTTTCTAGGCAACCCACGAGGGGTTTTTTGGTTTGTTTTTATTTCCTTTACTCATGCTATACTATTTTATCCCTACTTCTCTTGGAAATCCTCAATGTGATTGCCAAGTAATAAGACAGCAGTGTAAAGACAGTTTATGGACACATTTTCCATGTTATATTCCTTCCATTTCTTCATGTAGTCATTAAAAGGACAAGAAGTTGGTCTGAGATATTTCACTATGGGGATGAAGAATTTTTTACAAGTATCATTACAAACAGAAGACTCTTTGTAACCTGAATTCACTAGAGGATAAGTCTTACAAAGACAGGAAGTTTACTCACTGTTGCCTAGTGCCATCAAGTCGGTTCTGTCTCATAGCAATCCTGTATAGAGTTTCCAAGGAGTGGCTGGTGAGTTTGAACCACCAACATTGTGTTTCAAACTGATTTTGAGGTCAAGTGCTTATCCTACTGCTATATATCAAATTCAATAGGCCTGATATATACCGTATTTTTTTTTGCAAATAACCCATGCCTTCTATGTTTGTTTGCCAACCACTTCATTCCACCCAGGAGGTATTTTTGTAAATGAGCTATGCTAATTTCTTTACAGCATATTTTAAAACTTGGCAGAGCAGAGCTGACTAACATACCTTCCAAGGAGAGGGAGCAGTTGGCAAACAAATGTAGAAGATGCATGTTATTTGTGGGGATGGGGGTGGGAAGGGGGGATGGGGGAAGGGAAGTAATAAGGAGTTAAATATTTGATGACTTAATCAATGAATCCTAAGATTGGTTATGAGGAGCCCTGATGGCACAGAAGGGTTAAGCATTAGACTGCTAACCAAAAGTTGTCTATTCAAACACACCAGCCACTCTATGGAAGAAAGATGAGGCAATTTGTTTCTGTAAAGATTTAAAGTCTCAGAAACCCTACGGAGCAATGGGTTAGATCAGTTATGTTACAACTTAACTTGACCTTAATAAAAGTTGCCATGGTCCTAGAAAAAAAATCACTCAAGTAGTTATTAAGTGCCATTGAGTTGGTTCTAACTCATGATAGGATTTCTGAGGCTTTAAATCTTCATTGGGCAGAAAGCCTCATCTGTCTCCCACGGAGCAGTTGGCAGGCTCAAACCAATGACCTTGTGAGTTTTAAGAACTTTTTAAAACTAAATAATAAAAGATAAAACAGCCTTTATCTTGTAATCATATCCCTATCCCTAAAGACAACAATTAAACATTGGTCAGATGTCTCGTCCATGCATTTACAAGCATTCATAAACTATTCAAAATACTAGGTTTTTTGTTTCTGAATTTTATTTAAGTGGAACCTTTCATATGCATTTTTCTGCACTGTGATTTTTATTCTTTAACTATGCATTTTGGAGATCATTCCTTTTTTTTTTAAGTGCCCACAGTTTTCTGTACTGAAAGTACATGTGGAAATCTATTTCATTGTTTTCCACTAGTGAGCATGTTGTTGTTGTTGTTGTTATGTGCCGTGGAGTTGGTTCTGACTCATAGCAATCCTGAACAGGATTTCCAAGGCTGTAAATTTTAACGGGAGCAGAAAGCCTCATCTTTCTCTGCGGAACAGCTGGTCGTTTCGAACTGCTGACCTTGAGGTTGGCAGCCCCACTCATAACCACTACGCTATGGTGTTTATAATTTTTTCTGATTACAAAATGTCATTTTTAATGCTCTTGCACACAATTCTTTGTGCATGTGTCAATATACTTTTCAGATAATTAACCAAAGTGATATACTGTATTTATATGTATACTCATTTAAAATAATTATGTATATCATAAAATTGACCTCCTAGAACACAATAGCAATTTGCATTATTTTTAGCTGAGTATGAGAGTATCTGCTAACTCTTACCCTCGGCAACATTAAATATTGTCAATCTTTTATTATTTTGTTATCATAGGTGGGGGAAGCCCACCTTTCACTTAGTTTGCATTTCCCAGATAATTTGGGAGGTTGGTTATTTACTATTTATATTCAGTCTTACATGAACTGTATCTTCATATATTTGGTGTTTTTTTTTTTTTTTTGCATCAATGTTGTATTTTTATTAATTACTAGGTTTTATTATATTCTAGCTATTAAGCCTTGTTATGTAATTTGCAAATACACCTCCCCATCTTTTACTCTTTATTTATTTATTTTTTTTAACTGTGGGGAAGATTTGTCAGTGTTGAAAACAGTATTCTTATAGTTGGTCCTTGTTCCCTCATGAAGTACTTTTCATATTGATTTTCCAAAGTCCCATACTTTTTCTGTTTTTTCTTCTACTTTACTGACAACCCTTTTCTGTCTCTTTTATCAGTCCACCCCTCTTTATCTGCTTTCTAAATATTACAGTTCTTCAGGGCTTGGTTTTTGATACTCTTCTCAAACAACATTCTCTTGGATATGATTTCAAATTTTATAGATGTAAATATCATTTCCATAGCTCTCCTTGAACTCCAGACAGGAAGATCCAAAGAGTCTCTTTGGAATCTCAAAGTTAATGAATCAAAACCAGAATTCTTATTTTTCCACAGACCCATCCACCACAAATTTCCTTAGTCTTCCTATTGCTTTGAATGAAGTCGTCATCTACCTTGTTACTAAGTCCAGGCACCTTCTTGCAGTTCTCAAGGAGAACTAACATATTAGGAGACCGGTTTTCTTTTATTTATTTACATGTTTCCCCCAAACTCACTGTCATCAAGTGTATTCCAACTTTCTGTGACCCTATAAAACTGAGTTGTGGTGTTGTTAAGCCATCAAGTCAGGTCAAACCCATAACAACCAAGTATAAGGTTTCTCAGGAGCAGCTAGTGAGTCTGAACTGCCATGTAAGGTTTCCAACGTTGTAAATTTTTG